AAGCAAGTCTGACCAGTCCAGTCAACAGTTTGACTAAATTTGCGGCCAAATAGCGACCAACTTTGGTCGCTAAAGTATTTCAAATACTTTTTTTATTATTTTCGGCAGTTTGGCGACCAACTTTGGTCGCTTTTTTTGACAGACCAAATTTGGTCGCTAATCTTTGGTCGCTTTTTACAGGAATTCTAGTAGTGATAAGAAATTTTTCCGTAATGAGCGTTTGTTCATAAAATTTTCAATTTTCACTTAAAGATGCATTTTTGAAAATTTGAAAAATTCCAAAAAGCTATTTTTCAAAATTTTCACTCAAATCACTCACAAAACTTCAAAAACAACCGAAAATCATATTCATGTCCAAATACAACTCTAAATTTCAAATGCCATTTTCGCTTGAAAAAGTTTTTCACCCTTTTTTTAAATTTTACGATTCTTATGTCCAAACGTCCAGTATGTCTTGAGAATCAATCCATTTAGCATTCTTTCGCTCTTTTCTAGGAGTCTAAACTTGTATATAAGTTAAATAACCTCTTGTATGTTGCTCACAACCAAATCAATACAAGCTCTCCTCTTTCCTCTCTTTTTTTTGTGCATATTTATACTTACATGGTCAATCTTAACTAAATAACGTCATCTAAAACACTTTTTTTTTAATCATCATATTGTTACATTTGAGGATTAGTGCATCTAAGGATTTACGAAAGACATAATCAGACTATCCTATGTAATCCGTTGTGTGGTACTTATACACTGAGTCCAGAATCGAAATGTGGTTTTTTGGACTCAAAATACTTTTTTGAGTGTAAAAGAAAAAGTTACTATTATATATAAAACGCGGTTATGGACTGCGTTTTACCTTAACGGTCGTTTGGGACGTTAAGGTAAAGCGCGGTTCATGACCACATTTTATATAAAACGCTGTAATGTACCGCGTTTTAATAAAGCACGGTTCATTAAAGCGTTTTATATAAAACGCGGTTATAAACCGCGCTTTGCCTGTATAAATAAACGTTCCCCTTCCCTTTCCCCACTTCCGGACAGAACCTCCATTTTTTTAAAAAAACGACAGCGCCCCCCCCCCCCCCCATTAACTCGATAAAAAACTCGAGTGGACCCCACCCGTCCCACAAAAACTAATCAAAGTTGGTCCCACATCCTAGCCAAGCCTTCTATTGTTGTGAGTTGCTTGTTTCGGAGTTAATTTTTCAAATCTTCAACTTTCCGAAAAACATAATTTGGAAGTATTCTGATTTAGTTTATGTCCAAACTCGTATAAATAATGCATATTAGTTGTTTTGAATGTGTTCCATGTTGTTTTGTGTTTGTTTTTTGCGGTTAAATTGGTATGTTAATTTTATCCCGACTAAGATATTAATGTTGTAAAAAAAATGTAAAAATTGTGAAATCGTTATATCTTCGGAGTTGACTCCTATACTATCATCTCACGACACTCTCTTACGCTGTACATTTTACAAGCCCTGGTAGGCGAGCTTTATCGGGAAAATACATGCCATTTGCCAGCACCGTTTGGTCTAAACTCATCCCATATTGCTGACCGAATTTCATCAAGATCCCTTGTGAGGGCATCCACATCCGGCATATTTGGCAAATTATCAAGGTAGGGAATATGCCTTGAATGAAACGGCACATGGTACATTACACTCTTGGTCTAACGGGAGGTGGAGGAGCATGCTCCCTCGTCAGCTCAGGTTCGACATTCACTTCCTCCTCATCATCACCCTCGTCAGGGAAGGGTGTGTCATTTCCAGACTCATCGGTATTGTTGTCATAATCACTATTATCTTCCTGACTTCTGCGCATCTGCCAAATTACGAGTAAATACGTCGTCTACGAGCAACTGAGTGAGGTCAGGACCATCAAGTTGCTCGTTTTCACTGCACAAACAACAAAATGATAAGCTACTCAAATTGATAAATACTTTACATATAGCTATATCACTTCACTTACAAGTCCTAATGTGTTGACATTCCATGATGGATATTTTCGTGTTGGTGATGACTCCCGGATGGACCACCATGATCCAACACGCCAAAACTACGCATATTCCAACTGGGCGTGGGGTCATAACTTGTAAAATTCATATCCGGACGGTACCCCCTGTGGAATATATAAGTGTTAATACAAATTCAATTCAACAAAAAATAAACATCGTAATACAAAGGAAAATTGAAGTTTACCAGTCTTCTTGTGGATTATGTAAAGTATGAGAGAAATTATTTCCTCGCTCCTCGTTCGGCCGCGGAGATAAGTTTAGATCCGGCCAAACTCTTTCAGCCGGAACCTGTTGGGCTAAAGCTGCTCCAGAATAACCACCCGATGATTGAGGGTTATCCTTGCTTTGCGCAACATCATTATTGCAAACGTCTTCAACCTTCACGTACATTTCCAACATTTTTATCAAAATAAGTTCCCGGTATTCATCCGAGGTCCCCAAAAAATCTCTTAGAGATTCATCATCCTCGATGTTAAACTCAGCGTAACAAGCAACCTCTTGCGGAGTCACAGAATACAGATATCTTCCGGTTATTTTAAGATTCACCGAACGTTTGCTCAACCTCATTTTATTGCACAACAACGATACCAGTCTATCGTACTCCATTGTAAGTGGCAACTTAACATGACTCTGTGGAGATAAACTATAGCTCACCGAGTTATTCGCCACCACAACCTCACCCTCCCCCCCAATATAATGGAACCCTTAATTTTCGCTCTTCAGACATTATGAAAAAAGCTTGTGAATTTAACAACAAGAAAAATTTAGCACGAAGTTGGAGTATTTTTGAATGATTTTTCTCAAAACCCTTAACGCCTTTGTATAAGGCAATGTCCATTCCGGAGGGGTCAAATTTTTGGAAGTAAAATGCGGTTTAAAAGGGCGTTTTACATATTTGAATTATTGTTATGTCAGTTAAGCGTAGAAGAGTTATTGGTGGGCCCACTAAACATGTAAAACGCGGTTTAATACCACGTTTTATACAAAACGCGGTACTGAACCGCGCTTTATATAGCTGTCTGTTCAGCTACTATGTAAAACGCGGTTTGCTAAAGCGTTTTATATACGCGGTATTAAATCGCGCTTTACCTTAACATCCCAAATGGCCGTTAAGGTAAAACGCGGTTCATAACCGCGTTTTAATGAACCGCGTTTTATATATAATGATAACTTTTTTTTTTACACTCAAAAAAGTATTTTGAGTCCAAAAAAACTACATTTCGGTTCTGGACTTCTTGTACACTACCCTCACCGATCAAACCATTTACAGTGCTTTAAAGTTATCCATCTATCTTGTCATTCTTCTTCTTCTTCTTTTAATGGTCAGATGTATGTAAATCACCCGTTGACAAGTTTATTGACTCTGTTTCCGCTAATAAGAAAAGAAAATGGGCATGAAATATATAAAAAGACTTGCATAACTCCATCATTCTGGAAAAAGTGACTAAACATGACGTGCAAGAGGTCGCCTTGACTCTTAAATCGCCATTTAACATTCGAAGCCACCATGTGTTCCCTGAATATTAACGGAACATCCAAATATTTTCTATAGCAGCAAGATCTAACGATTTTAGATACCTAATTCATGATAATTATTTTATGATATCCACTTGTGTAACTTCTACTGCTAGTTAATTAAATAACAACACCGCATGGGCCAATAATTATCTCAGTTATATTTAGGGTCTTCAAAGGGTGCCACGTGTCACCAGTTTGACTTTAACAAAAGGCATATTCAAGGTCGAAGTGATCTAACAAGAGACGAGCGGGGTCGAGGAGTCAACAGAGATCAAGGTCGAGGACTAGCACTCTCCTTGAATAGAGTAATAACGTCTAATTTTAGGATAAGACTTTAAAGAGAATATTCCAGTGAATATTCTCTGGATCTGTACTGTTAGGGTATTGTGGCATATGTCCCCTGATAGATAGAAAGACAGCACATTGACATTCCCCGAAGTTTCTTGTTTTATTATACACATTCAAAATATACTTTTTTCTTGAGATCCTTGTCTAACTTTTCTCCCACGATCCAAGGAGAATCCGATTATTCAAAGGTTCATCAATCATTCATCATTGTCAGAAAGAATACCAAAGAATCTCAACATTTTCGGGTGACTCACATGCTTTTGTTTACTTAAATGTCATTCATTGTTATTTAATGCTATCTCTTTCAGTTTTAGATCATTGAATATACTAGTGTTGTCACCATTTATTGCTACTTAGATAATACCCATATTATCCTGATACAAAATCGATTAATATATCTTTATATTAATATTGACTAAGATTAACTCTATTTTATTAGAAAATCTAATTGTTTAAATCTAGACCTAAATTTTGGGTCAAACAAAAACCAACATAGCGGAATACATTTGAAGTCTTGAACTAGCTTCTTTTCTCCCTTAAGTCGGAGTCCCTTATAAACTGCCAAAAGATACCGCAGATACAGAGTAAACATATGCAGAGCACGACCTCAAGTCTATATCAACAAAGGAGCAATAGTAGCCAAGTTCAGGTATCATTAGCATCGGATAGCTCCTTGTGGTTGTCTGCGAGGCTTGCTCGAGTGCTCCTGAATTATGGATTCATTCATATCCGGATATCCTTAATTTGGAAACCTTACATGGGCTATTAATGCTTGCCAGGAGCAGACCGGAGTTGCCTAGAACTTGTAAGGTGCTGTCTTGACATTAGGCTTGCAAGATCCAGGCTTAGCCATCTGAACCTGTATAAACCTGCCATCTAAGAACTTGACAGCAAAGAAATTCTCAGATGTTGATGTGCAAATGGATCCAAATCAGGAGATATCCATATATATATTTTACCTTTCCATTCATCTCTTGGACAGCACATTGTGCAGATTCTTTATCGAGAAACCAGATATATGCAAACCCCAAAGGTTGCTTACTTATCTTATCTGTAACGATTTTGACTGCAACACAAGGAAAACAAAGTATAATCTTCTTAGCATGAATAATGCAAATCCCAACAATTGCTTAGTTTTCTTATCAATAACTATAATTTGGCTGCAACATAGGGAGGAAAGAAAAAGTATGAGCTTCTTAACACGAATAAGTATCCACCAGAAATCTTGTCGCGTATGATCTTTACCAAGAAAAATGCAAAGATAAAAGTGTACATAGAAATTCCATGGTAAAATATATGCACCTCGGCTGACGTCTCCAAATTGTGAAAATACCACCTTCAATCTTCCCTCCGCTGTAGATTTTGCTAGTCCTGCATCAATCAAATTCTCGAATGTAACACCCAAACAAGGAGGAAGAGTATCGTCATCAAAGACTTAGATAAACAGAAAGCTTTTTATAAGGTTCTTGATCCATTTGCTGTTGACTGCTCAGACCATAGTTACATAAGGAGAAGAATGGTAAGCACATAAATGATATATCAGAATCTTCATATTATTTCAGTCCATAAGAGCTTGGAGGTTCTCAGAGTATAAGATAATGATAACAATTTTAACAACCTTCCCCAAACATACAGCTCTCCTCAATAACATTTATTTGCATGTAGCCTTTATGCAGCTCAAGAATGTCTTTTTAAAACTTCACTACTATACTACCTAAACAAATTATATGAAAATCGTCGAGACACTCTAAAGATATGCCTGACCAAGTTTTCTCTCCTTATATGAGCTGCCATTAATCGGCACAATTGAAGGGTTCTTTTCACATACCACTAACTAAATTGCAGAATTGGAAATGATGGCACTGAATTGACAGAATATTCAAGCATTCATTCACTATATACCCAAGTCCATATTTTCCCCAAAATGTAAGGTTTAATGCTTCCTTAATGCACTAATAAGTATTTTATCTATCCTTAACTGCTCTAATAATGATCCTCATTGGACTAAGCTATTGTAGAAGGGCTGAAGGGGTTGTCTACATCACACCTCTTAGGGTACTGCCCTTCCCCGACCCTACATGCAAGATGCCTTGTGCGCCAGGCTGTTCATTGGACTAAGCTATTGTAAAGAGAACTCTAATAGATAAAATCGACTGTAGGGAAGTTTATCTACGTACCTTTCAGGAATATAATTGTAGTAGAATTTGCAGTATTATCTGGCTCAACTGAAGAATCTGAGCACTTGGGTAAATGAGGTTTCTTCTGAGACAGGTCAATCGAAATGCGCGGTGTAAAGTTTGAAACCCTTTCGGAACTAAAAATGGGAGGAAATGGGGAATTGAAAGCCGAGGCTTTTGGAATAGAAGATGATGTGAACGATGGGGAAATTGAAGTTAAGCTTTTATTATAGGGTGAGCAAAACAGAGCCATAACGAAACCCTATTATGCTCGAACCCGCTTCAGTTATTGCAGTTGGAAAGAACGGTATTTGGAATGGCTGGACTTTAGAGGTTGTGGGACTAAATTGCATTTTCATTTGGGCCCAGCGGAGAAATGATCCAGTTAAAATAGCACGGGCTAGCCAGTTTTCACATTGGTCATTCAAAAACAGCCAGCATTTGCAAAGCCATTAAAAAATAGCCACTATTTTACTGCGACAGGGACCGGTACAACATAATATACTGCAGATCGGTGCACCTGTGTATGAATTTCCAGCATATTATGCTGGAACTCCAACACGCAGAAAGTTCCAGTATAATATACTGGAGATTGGAGCATCTGTGTATGAACTTCCAGCATATTATACTGGAACTCCAGCATATAATATACTGGAGTTCCAGAATACTTATGCTGGAACTCCAGTATATTATGCTGGAGTATTTTCCAGATTTTGAACAGTGTTTTCGTTCAGATTTATCTTTACATGAAAAGTGGCTAAATTTCGATTATTTTGAAACTGTCTATTTTTGAATGACCACTTGTAAATCTGGCTATTTTTGAATTTCTCCCAATTATCTGCTATTTTATAAAGGTTTTGTATATGTACAAAAATTTCAATTTATTTACCCGATTTATCTAATTTTTTTTATTTAAATAAAGTAACTAATTTTTTTTTTTACAAAATATATATAAATTTGGTTAATTTATCTAATACCTAAATATAAATTGTTTATACAAAATCCGGTCAAAAACTATAATTTACATACAATTTATATATAACTTGTATAGAATTATGCTAGTTGTCTATATTCGTCGACTACAAAATATATACAATTTATTTATGTCTTCTTTTTCGAGTTTCGATTCGAATTTTCAGCCAAAACCACCTCGAATCTGTTTACCCTAAAAACAGATAACAATTGAATTTATACTCTGGTTTTAAGGACAAGTGATTCACTTGGCACAAACTGTCAGAAAACGTAAATGGATACTGAAATTAACTGCAAATGTAAAACAAACCAAATGAAATATATAGCTTTAATCCTTGAGCTAGGTTGCCCTCGAATCAAGTGACTATTTTTCCAGAAAGTATGACCAAAGTAATAGGAATGTTGAGAGGTTAAGAGAAAGTGAATATATGCCTTTGTAACGTGATATGTAATGTCTTTTACAAATGATCAGACCCCCTTTATATAGTAGGGGGAATCCTCTTGGTACAATTCTAAATACAACAAGAAATCCCATGATTGGCTAACTAATCGGCCTCTTCTTGATACGTGCCGAGATTTGCGCCGTGATCCTCGCTCGATTGCAGATATTTCGTCATTCCGTTATTCAACCCAGCAAGCTTCCCTTGATCTCTATCTTATTTGGTCCCGCTCTTGGTCGATCTCGATCTTGGTCGGTCCCGGTTCTGGTTGGTCTCGATCTTAATCGGTTCCAAGGTCTCAATCTTGACAACCTAACTCTGCGTCGTAGTTTGATATAAATCGGAGTTGATCCTCGGCTAATCATGCCCCAGCCTCGATCAGTCGCATAACAAGGGCAAACCCGATTTGACCGTATACAGATAGTCCTCTTGTTTTTTGGAGAGTAATGACAAGAAACGACTTGAGTCCCCGACCTTCACCCGATACATCGTGACGTAAGCACCATGACATAAGCAACAGAAGGTAATCGAAACATCTCGTCGGTACAGTTTCCCAGACATTTAATGTGTGCCGGTCGACAGTCGGCCACCACCGGAGTTGAACTGTCATCTTTAACCTATAAATATACCTTTCTTTATTTTTCAAACCTTTACTTTCAAATCTTCTTCACTATGATCTCCAAAACCCCTTTGTCTTCCTCAAAACTTTATGATTTCAGATCTTCTCACCTATTCCATCACAAAATACCAAGTGTTTCTTCTCAGTTTTCATTCTTCTTCACTCGTAAAAGTAAGATGGCTAAGACTTCAACGACTGTCCCACACAAGGAAAATGCTTCTTCATCAAGGTCTGCCGGTGATGCAGCCGTGGCGGAACCTCCCCTAGAGGTTTTGTTCCCACAAAGTGCCCCACTGCTGCCGATTTTAAGGTGGAGAATACACCCTCGACAACGGATCGATGCGAACCGATGTCGAGATAAATGTACACAATCACCGACGATCTTCTTGACCAAGTTAAAAAGGACTGCAACTGGGTTGACAAACACGTGGTGGTGCCTTCGCCTGAGGAATAAATCACTATCCATGTGGAAGGGTTTTTAAGTGTTTACACTTATCCTTTCATATTGGGTCCTTTAGACCCCATCATCGTTGCCTTATGCAAGAGGTACAATGTGACCCTTGGCAAGATCCATCCATCGTTCTGGAGGATCATGATCCTCCTCCGACTTTTGTAAACCAGATCGAGGGGCATCCTTTCACCCTCGACCACCTTATGCGCCTCTATAGTCCCTGGCTTTATCGAGGAGGATTGATCAAGCTTTACCATCGAGCCACCAAGCCCCCATTCTCGAGCATAGACGAGACTCGAGATCGAGGTTGGATGGGCAAATTTGTCCGAATCAAGACCTCGGATCTAATCCCTACCGAAGACATGCCATTTCCTGAAGAATGGAACATGAATCGTAAGTATCGCTTTGCCTTGAATATCTAACTTTGCCATTTTACTTCTCATCTTCTTTCCTTTTTTGTGTTGTAGCTGTGGCCCACATGCCGGAAGTGATCCCCGATCTCAGACAATGGGTCGAGGGTTTAGTATCGCGGAAGTCTTACTCCGAGCGTGCCTGGATATAGTTGTAAAAGGGTCAACGGGAGGCACGTAACCACGGTAATCTTATTTTCTTAGAACGGTTTCTATTCGGGCTTTGAATTGGACTTACTCATCTTTTTCCCTTTTGTAGGCCTCGGGAAGGAAGTAGCAATAAGGCCCCCTATGCTGAAGAAGAGGTGTTTTCCCCTGCCCCGAAGCAGGCCAAGGAGAAGAAGAGAAAAGGGGCTCCGAGCTCTCCGGGCCCGGAAAAGAAAAAACCGGCGAGGAGGCCCCATAAACCCAAGGGGAATGTCATCTGCCTGACTATGGAGTCAATCAAACAGCTGAGGGATGAGGCCGAAGAGGACGAAAAAGAAGAAGAAGACTCCAGGCTGGTTGCCCATGTGCGAACTGGCACCGAAATTTGAAGAACTACCGGGCTGGCGGGAGCTGAAACTGCTTTGCCTCATTTTGATGAAGTCCTCGAGTCGGAAAGAGTTGAAGATGCTTCACCTTGAGGTGAGGAGGCTACTGAGGAGGTAGCCGATGCTGGTGTCGAAACCATGCTCGAGGTTTCCCGTGATGAAGGCGGAACCCCAAAAGATTTACTTGGGGCAATAGAGATTGGAGATCCCCCCTCATTGCCTTCGTTCTCTGATTCGACGATCAAGGACGCTCAAGCGATGGAAACTTGCCACAGTGAAGGGATCCATGGAGCAGAAGACCCTTTCCGTAGATGTCACCGATTTGGGTGACCTGGATGATCCGAGGAAGGGCTCGAGTGAGGCTTCCTTGAGCTTTAAACTGACCAATCAATTTTCGGCCCCCAGTGTCGATCACGGGCATAAGTGATCATTTGTCATCTCGGTCCTGGAGGATGCTCGAGTTCTTTCTGCCCCCGTAGGGGTGGCTAGCTATCTCCGATGCTTGGTTACCGAAGAGGACCAACCAAAGATGGACGAGGTTGAAGTTGATTGTTTGTTCAACAAGGCCCAACATGCTTTGAATCGGGTAAGTTCGGGGGCCATTCAATTATATTTTTAAAACTTTGAGTTGTAGATAGTTCTAACGTTTTCTTCCTTACTTAAGGCTTCGGTGTTGTATCATGAGGCCTTTCTTCGAATCCGAGAGGAGCGCAAGGCTAAGTTTCGGGGCCTCACTGAGAAATGCGATACCTGCAAGCTTCTCAGTGAGGAGCTTCAGGTAGACTTGGTGGCGGCTCGAGATGAGCATGCTGAGATGGCTGAGCAGGTATTTTGAGTACTTCATGATAGTGAAAATGAGTTGGAGATAACAACTAACGATCCGATTATGCAGGTTCGACAGAGGCTCGAACAGATCAAGGACCTCCAAAGGCAAATAGATAAAGTACGAGCCAAGTCTGAAGAGTTCAAGGGGTGCATGGACATCTTAGCTTCAGAAAAGGAGGTCGTCCAAGCAAAGTTGGAGTCAGTCGAGTCTCAGCTTTGGGCTGCAAGGAAGAAAGCCTCGGTACAGGCAAAGAAAATTGAGGAGCTTCAGTCCAATTTAGCCAACTTGTCCAAGGAGCTCGAGGTGGCCAGATCTGAGGCGACCATGGCTAATAACAAGGCCCATGCTAATGCGACTCAATACAAGGTTGATGTTGAAGCCACCCTAGCGCAGGCCAAGAGCATGGTAGATCATTCGACTGAGAATGGTCTCTCGAACTCGAAGTAAAAGTAGCCCTTAGGCCTTTGTAAATTTTGTATTTGGCCGATCTGGCCTTTGTGTTGGCCCAAGTTCAGGTGAAGTTTTGAAGAATGACGAATGCACTCAGTCATGGAACAGGTCCATCATGTGAGACACAGTGTTTATCAACCTATACATGTGAGATGCACGTGAAGGAGATAAGTCTCAAGGATAAAGCAGCAATATCTCCTGAACTGATCGAAAAGGTTGCATATTGGATGAGGAACGAAAGTATCCTCATGGGAAGAGGACATAATCCGGATAAAGGATAGGGTTGGAGTTTGTATTATTCAAGGACTCAACTTCGATGGAAGATTAGCAATTGAGTCTCAATCAAACTCTGATTACTAACTCATTAAATAACAGTAATTGTTCTCTTTTACAGGGATTGCACAAACGCAGAAGTGAAACTAAATTGAGAGCAAAAGAGCAAGGCAATTTTGCAAGCAATTTATGTGAAATTCAAGTGTGCATTCCTGAAGCTACTTGGACAAGATAGAAGAACCGATTCCATTGTATTTATTCTTATTCTAGTTCAATTGTAGTAGGTGGTTTAAAGTTGTACCTTTCCAGCTTTTGTAGAAGCAATTGTAATAGGTACT